AGAGGTATGAAGTCTACACGACTCGAAAGTTGGTGGTTCATAAAGTTCGGCTAGTGTTTAGAAGGCTGTGGTGAGCTGGATGTGTGACTACGATGAGTGACACAAAAAAGAAGCACAACATTTTTTGTGAGGAAAGTTCTTGGATACCGTACACTTCTAAGACGAAGAAGCAGATTATAGGTGTCAGGCCTCAGTTTCATATGAAAATACGGGTCTTTGTTTTAGAGGTGTTAAACCTGCTACTTCTGCTTGCAGAGTGTTAGTTACACAAAAGCGGAAGATTGTTTCAACAAGACTGGGAGAACATTCTTTCTGGCTAAATGAATCACATAACCCAGCAATAATTGTAGACGTAATGAGAAGTAAACTCTGCCCTACGTGCAATGTAGCGATACACGAGCTAGGCGTCCGTGCACATGGCTTTTACAAACATTTGGTTCGGAACAGATTTGTAACTAATGACTTGATGATGATGGAGGCTGAGACCTACTGGTTGTACAGGAATGAACGTGGGCGTATTCATCATGGGACCTCGCAGGTATGAACGCTGCCACAGTACGTACAAACGGGCAAAGGTGCAGCTGGGTGAACAGAAATGCAATCAGTGTGCCTCAAAAATAAACTGTGATCTTTGAATAAGGCTCCAAAATTCGTTACAATTTATGTGTGCCATGACCGCCTCTGTGATCCAGTGGTCAGAGTTCCTGGCTACAGATCCAGAGGTCCCGGATTCGTTTCCCGGCGCTACCAGATTTTCTGAGAAGTAGTGGGTCTGGAACGGGGTCCACTCAGCCTCGTGAGGATAAGTGAGGGGCTACTTGAATGGAAAAATAGCGGCTCCGGTCTAGAAAACCGAAATTAACGGCCGCGGAGTTCCGTTGCGCTGACCAAGCGACATCATCTATCGGCAAAAATTGGCATTAACTTCGCCGACATGCGACGGTCGCCCGGTCGGCATAGTTCGCTTGCGGACTAAAGCCACGGATTTTGTTATGTATGATATGCACCGCAAAGAAAACGAAAAAATAAGCAGGGACACACAGAGATAGTAAGGTGATCTCAAAAGTCACATAAACGTTCGTTAAATGTTTAAAATGTCATTAGAATTATTAAAATATATGTACAATGGTGCTTATACATGTTTCAGCCGTAACTAATCTTTTAAAGGAGTGTACTGCACTGTACACTTGGTCCAGTAGTATTCATTAAGGCATGTCCTTAATGTTATTATTATTAACTTCTTTCAATTCTGATGTTGTAGGATGATTCTATAGGATTATTTTCTTCCTATCTTACATATTGCGGCTGTTTTTGTGTTCCATTGGGTGTGCCGCTCGCTTAGTTGTGTGTATCTAATGTTGCTAGATTCTGTAACGTCAAATACCAGCATCTGTAACATAGGACTACTTCATCGAACGCGAGGATGTACAGTGAACTGGAAGGCATGTGAAAGGAAGCATTAGTGGCTTAGTCGCGGCACAACTCAGAAACTATGCTGGAAGTACTGAAGAAAACAATGAAAATACTCAGTCGGAATAGCTAGTGTTCCTGCCGAGATTCGAACAGATCACTTCCCGAATACGCATATGGAGCATAACTGATGCACCAGCTTGCTCTGTGCCTTGTTTGCGGGAAAAGCGTCATGCGTAGTCATGTGATAATCTGAGACTTGTATTCGCTAGCAGCGCCGTGAATGGATTTCATTTGAACATCCGTTTTAGGAACGTTTCCTGAGACAGAGTTATGAACGTCATGAGAGCGACTTTCCTCATTGTGACTATCACATCACACCCACAAATGTACGACCAGGAACAGGTGTCACTGAGGCAGCTAGCTCATTATCCGATCCACCAAAGCTGAGTCTAACATGTAATGCAGCTCTTGAAAGAAACTTGTGGGACCGCCTAACATTGTCATTTACTTGTACGACTGAGGACAGATTATAACGCTGCATTCACTTCTATTGCGAGTCTATTTGACTGACACGGTGCACACGCTGCCTGTCTTTTTAATTTAGACCAGTGAGGGACGGTATTGCAGGTTGGAATATACCCGCAGGCCGCAACATAAATTACCTGTTCTCACCTGTTCTCACATACCCTCAATTTATACCCTTCCCTGAATATCATGGACCAAGATTCGCACCCATACAAAACTACAGGCAAAATTATAATTTTCCCAAATCAGACATGCTGATGATGGTTAAAAATCAGTCACAAACCTTGCTGTATTTTATCAATACTGAATTCGATCATTAAACCACCCTGAAACCTCAAGAAAGTCGTTAAGTTACATCTCTAAATTAAGAATACATTTCTCAACTCACCAAAACATTTAGCACCATCAAACAGAATCCAAATTGGCTTCGATTTAAGTCAGTTCAATCCATTTTGTGTCCCGCAACATATTTCCTGCAAAACAATGACAGCACGTTACAGCCTTAACTGTCTCCCAGATAATATTCCTTCTTGAAGTTTCACAACAAATGTTGAGAATGTATTTGTAGCTACCCCGGTGCATTCTACGTGTTCAGATCATTTTAACTGTGATTTAACAGGTTACTACAGTATCTTATTCATTCAGGGGGTACACGTTTCGAATCTTAGCCAGGAAAAGCATTTCCAGGGGGAAGAATTTACGTGGTCTGTAGTTTCTCCTGGAAAATAGCTCTACTACATTTAAGACAGGCATGCCAGTTCCCTCCTCCGTCCTTCGCTCTTCAGATAAGAGTCAGTCACAACAGACTCCCCTAAGTTTCATTACATTATATCGTGTCCGCAACAGATAAAAGAAAACAACAAATTCCGTGGCCTGTAGTCCTCAAGCGAACTATACCGACCGAGCGACCGCCGCTTGTCGGCGAAGTTAGTGCCAACTTTTGCAGATAGAGGGTGTCACGCTGTCAGCGCAACGGATCCCCACGGCCGTTAATCTCGGTTTTCTAGACCGGAGCCGCTATTTCCTTGAAACATCTCCTCAGTTATCCTCACAAGGCTGAGTGAACCCCGTTCCAGACCCACTACTTCTTAGAAAATCTGATAGCGCCGGGAATCGAACCCGGGACCTCTGAATCCGTGGCCAGGAATTCTGACCACTGGACCACAGAGGTGGTGACCGTAGTAGATACAGAGTTTCAAAAGGCCAGAATTAATAAATAACAAGAACCACAATATGAGCTTGTTCTACTGTACCTATACCTATTACCAGTCACCGTCAGTAGTAGTTACGAGAAGTATAGCAAGATGGCAGAAATAAATGATAGCTTGAAAAGTGTATGAGCCAGTATTACACCGTTCATACCTCTGGATGGCAGCACCGTTTAGTACATACTGTTTTCTATCGCGTTCAGTATAAGGTATCGTCGCCCGGTGCTTAACTGATTAAGCATCACACCATGATGACATGGTGGAATGGCTGTATAGATCCACGTATTCTCAACCTAGACACTAGTTGGAAGTGAGCGGTCAGCTTCATGGCCAGGGCGACTTTACCCCCAAGGAAAGAACCTACCCGTACCCATTGGATAGGAGGTTAGGTGGGCCCCAGAACCGGTCTAGAACACATGGAGAGGACAAAAATATTGCATCTAGAGGAACTCGAACTCCGACCCTTCGGCCATCCAGCGCATAGACAGTCGCTATAAAGACTGAGCTAACTAGGCTCCCATCACGTTTAGTATCCTAATGAAATTTAGCTGCATCATCAGCACATTTCAAATACATACACAGTACAATCTTGCCTTAAAATGACCCTTAAAAACTAAGGTCTAAGCGTAGAACTTAGTTAAATAAATATAGCGTGACCATGACAACAGTAAATTCCAGTTCAGATTTTAACGGACGTTACGTTAGTCAATGTCATTGACGGACAAACATTTCTTTGGACGCTGGGATATTATTTTGAACTGGTTGTTCAGAATAACGAGGAAGGTTGCGTGAAAGAGACAGGTTTGTCCCATTCACAAAGTTTCGTCATAGTCTTTCTGAATGATTTATCTTGAACAGGAGGTGTAAATATATACAAACGTATGTATGGCCGTTCTTTCCGTTAAAACAGGATATATATAAATGTCTTAGTAATTCATAATTTAGAATTTCTCCAGACTTACAGACGGACACATTTTAATCTTGACACAGCACGTCTCAGAAATTCCTGTTTAAAATATTTCAATATCTTTGTAAGTGGATGACAACGATTTTTACATCTCTCTCTAAATTATCATAAAGAGCAAGCAATGAAATGAATACAAATACAAACAACCGTAACAATAAACATATTTAACATTGCACCACAATGGAATAAGGCGTGATAGTCAAAGTCTTCTAAAATCCTCATCAACCTACTTTTGAAGCTATATCGCTTGAAATTATGAACAGTTTAAAGGTGGGTACTGTCATCTGCGATGTTTCGTCATATAATATAGTAAAAATCTGTCGACGTTTCGGAGCAACGTACTACGTCCTTAACTCTTACGATTTACTTGTGTGTTTACATGGCTTACTTTTCGGCCTTAAAGAAGTTGGCAGTATGTTTCTCCGAAACGATGGTAAACCTCTATCAGAGTACACTGTCTCATTTCTCAGAAGAATATTTTCTTTATAAATACTGCCATCAGAACACAGAATCTCACAAGGAAAAATTTTAACTCAAAATATTCAAGCATACAAAACCAAAATTGTGGCTGACAGTAAAAATTATGCAGCTCCTAATGTGTAATAATTCTTCATCAGTAGTTTGAATAAAATTAATGCCATTTCAGCGGGGAGGATCCTGGATATGGCGGGACACTGCAAAACAAAATAGGAAACCAACACGAGAATGCGAAACCAGGACAATGTGAACACGAACATAAATGAAACAGAAGAACAAACATAGGAGGACGACGTGAGAGGTAGGCAGAGAGGGAGGTTGGAGGGATGGAAAGGGTTGAATCGTGGGTGAGAGGCGTCGAGGTGGAGCAAGCGAGAGGGAGAGACCACGCGACGCACATAACATGGGGCTCAAGAACAAAACCTGAAGCAAGCTGAGCTTGGAGTTCACTTCGCAACTCATAACGACCTCGGACACTGCCGCCCTGCCATCTGTGGTGAGTACCGAGCAACCCTGTTGCACTTCTTAGCTCTTTCATTATATGCAGATTTAGTGTGACGAATGAAATTCAAGGACCGCCATGACAAATTTAAAAGTTTATATATATATATTGGAAGTTTTTACTAATCCATAAAGTTTTCTCCAAAAACACTAAAAATATTTTAACTATGTTTATTAACAAGAACTGTTTATACGAAATAAATTTGTGATTTTTGAAACAGGAAAATTGTATCTGTATTAAATATCAGCGATGAGTGAACCGGGATATTATAATTAATTATGGGAGAGTGTGCAATTTCTCCACACATTGAATTTGGTCGTGCCATAACTCAGACGGTTAAGGGCTGAGGAACTCCGAGTTCAAACCCGAGTGGCTTCATGTGAGACAGGTGGCGGAAGAAATGTCATTGCAGCAGATATTTCTCTGCTACTCGCCATTCCACCATTGCTCCATACTCATCTATCACCGCATCCTGTGTTGTGCGACAGTCCTGAGCAGGCAGCACATTATCATTTCCCTGAACCTTTAAATTTACATGTGCAAGATGAATAGCACTGAAACATAAAATAATCCGTTGTTATTAAAAAAATCGGTTTTAGGTAAAATATTATGTACCGAGACAATTGTTGATACATGATTAGTTAACGTGGGGCAATCTGTTATCGGGCGAGCGTTCACCAGGTATTTACATTTTGTCTTTAGAAAAATAAAATAAAACTATGCATATTACGAAATTATAATTAGAAATGTTGGCAGATACAGAGTAGCCGCAACTACATGTGTGCCAAATTTCATAACTGTAGAGCTCACAGTTGACTAGGAAAATGCGTACAAATTTGGTACAAATAATATTGCACGCAAAACTAATGCTTACATTTTCCCTTTAAATGTTTCGAAATAGTTAAGTCATTATCTTGATGTATTTAAATTTAAATGTAATTTCGACATGGAGAAGTTCGCGACTGGGATTGTATTTATATAAAATACAGGGAGCAGGTAAGCGTCCGCCACTTTGCAGTTACAGCTGCTGTCTCCATTATGCTTTCGCTAGGGCCTGCAAAGGAATTTGTTGGCTCCTCTTTGATTTAAGAAGGCGCTGGATTTGAAAAGACGATCTAACTTAGCAGCATTCATATCTCTTGCTTTGCCATCCTACCTGTATATTCATATATTTATTAGTTTATCTAATTACTGTATCATATACTTCGTCTTCCCTGCCGTGTACTTTTATTTAACTGATTTCATATTTATTCTGTTCATTCCGTACATTTCAACATTTACGTCTGCCTTTTCTTGGCACTAAACGCATCGTTTGGAAAAGCTTTCTCGTTCCTGATCACGGCATAGAAATAAAGAGATACTCAGAAATACGGGTTCAATTGTTACTTATATATTCATAAGCATTTTTACTAGTGAATTCATTAATAATGTTATATTTTAGCGTCCTGTTACACTGACTCATGTCCATGATTTACGCTAACCGTCTTACAGTGCATAAACTTTTTTCACCTTACTCTTCTCTTTTGCACTACATGCTTCAGCATTAATGTGCCATATAGACTTGAAAGGATTCTGACGATGGTGTATACTGTACTTCTTTTGGCTTATTTTGGACTTCACCCATCGTCCGGTATATAAAAAAGTCCAAAATAAGCCAAAAGAAGTACATTAATGTGCCATCTTCAGGTGCGTTTTCTCTACGCACGTCTAACTACTGCATTGCATGCCCTGATATCTTCATACTAAAATGACTAAAATATATATTCGTCATATATAATAATAGATTTTAAATATTAAAACTTTTCAGGATTCGTCATCCTTACGTCGTATCTCAATACGCGAATCACGCCAAACCACCTCTGTGGGAGCACTCTTCCTACATTCATGTGTATATTGTGTTCTTTGTTATGTCTTGCTCCTGTGACTGCGTGCGTTATTCATTAAACTAGATACAATTAAGACGATGATGATTAAGTAAACAAATAATGATCTAAAATGTTCACTACATCTTAAATGATAAAGCTACTGTCATTAACTAAAATACTGATGACATCTGTGGTTAATACAGTATATTGTCCAATTTACAATGTACTCTCTCTCTCTCTCTCGGCGACATCGTTAAATATTCTGAAAGGAAGAGCATTCAGATAACAACACACGCTCAGGTTCAAGCATGAAGTATTGTACAAACATATATACTCCTGATGTGTATGATTTGCTAGCCTGTGTGCACAACACATATTGACAGAATTATCACACACATTCCAGTATGTAAAGTTTACTTTGATCAGTGGTCATGATAATATAAGCATATTTGTTCAAGTATTAATATGTAACCCAGATGTATATATCCGATCACATAAATGAAACTTTTCAGCTGCACTGTAACAGATATTACAAAGTCTTTTAGTGGGCAATGTTTTACATAAGAGAGAGAGAGCCATGCGTGTTCTTCAACTTTGTTTTGTTACACACAGCGCCGTAAAGTAAAACCGCGCATACAATGAGTAACAGGAAACTATAGCAAGTGTTAATGTGCTACGCAACGGAAACCAAACACGTAACATAAATAATATTGTTTGTATTCAAAGTTGTACGTCTGTAAAATGAGGGCAAATAACTTCTTGTTGTCTAATATAATTTTTATCTGGGTAAATTAAGGGTAATATTTTTGTGAACTTATTTTCATAGCGAGTTCAGCAAATCAGGAGTTGGAAAACAGCATTTTATTCATAACACTGTTATTAAAACTCCAAGATAAGTCGTTCTGTCACTCACATACACTAGAAGCTATGTAGTTCTCGTAAATACAAAGATACTTTTTAATTACTAAAAAAACAATATTTCGTTGTGTTAGAGACGTATTTTGTTACGTGTTACGGAATAATAATGATTTATTTCAGTTTATAAAATAAAGTTAAGAGACTACTGATTATATGTTTATTGAATATTCATTAAGGGGGTATTCGTCGAGAATTGGAAAGTCTGAAAATATATTTCCATGTTTTCATATCTAATATATTCTTCTTATTATGGCAGCCTTTCGAAATGTAATTTTTGGGTGGGTAGGGAACAATACTGTTACGAAGTACCTTATTGCAAACATTGGATTGTGAGCAGAGATAGGTGTAAAGAAAAACCTCCATCCACCTTTCAAACTTTCACGCTATTTACAGGTGATGTTGATGCTGGCAATTCAGTTTCAATTTTTTTTAAACTCTTCAACACGTTTAACAATTTTTTGCAAGAATATGAAAGATTTGAGTTCATCTAGACTAGCTCTAGGGCAATGGGCAAGAGTTTTACGACAACAACCCGGCTGGATACGTACATTTTACGACTAGATAATACAGGAGTTTGCCAATCTTTCCTATCATCCTGACTAAGGAAAGGAGCTTAGTTTTTGCTGGTGCACGAGAAAACAGCGCATGTGTTACTGAGATGCCAGGGAATGTCTGGATACTTGTTAATAAATTAGTTCAGTATTGGTGAAGAACTGGTAATTTACTGTCAGATTACGAGAGCAGGACTCCACTGAATATGCACGGTACGTAACGTTTAGACTAGGACTGAGACTGCAGAATGACTAAAGCAGAGGCCCTTTCACTGCCATCTTCTGGTCCTGTCCTTAACTGCAACCAATGTTACATAACATATATGCGTGGATAATCTTAAACTGTGTCTCATTGTACGCACACAATATTCAAGTCATATATCAAATTCTGAAGATTTAAATTATTTTAAATATATAAAACTATGATTTTTCCTGTGGTTCTGAATGGGTGTGAAACTTGGTCTCTGACATTAAGGGAGGAACACAGACTGAGGGTGTTTAAGAACAGGGTGTTGAGGGGAATATTTGGACCGAAGAGGGATGAAGTGACAGGAGGCTGGAGAAAGCTTCATAATGAGGAGTTTCATAACTTGTACTATTCTCCAAGTATAATTAGAATGATCAAGTCAAGGAGGATGAGGTGGGCAGGGCATGTAGCACAAATAGGGGAGAAGAGGAATGCATATAGGATATTGGTGGAAAAGCCAGAAGGAAACAGACCACTGGGAATGCCAAGATGCAGGAGGGTGGACAATATCAAAATGAATCTTAGAGAGATAGGATTGGATGGTATGGACTGAACTGATCTGGCTGAGGATAGCGACCATTGGAGGTCTCTTGTGGACACTTTAATGAACCTTCAGGTTCCATAAAATGTTGGGAAATTTCTGAGTAACTGCAGAATTGGCGGCTTCTCAAGAAGGGCTCAGCTCTATGAGCGAGTGAATACTCAGTTTGTCTGGGTAATAGGGCCCGATTGAACAATCAAGTCGATACAATACTCAGTTAATATTTTACGAATCTTAGCTTGCAAATTAAGCCACAAAATATAATCATGCACAGTGTCGTGTGAAATATTCCTCACTAAGGACTAGAAATTTACTGCTGGTATTTTTTTATTGCTAGAGGGGTGGGACTAAGTCCCTTGTACTGCGGACACTTCTGGCCTATTGTACCAGCCCCAGATGATAGGTAAGGGTGATTGTGGAGCAATTGGTGGAATGAAGATTGGCAGGGAAAACCAAAGTACTCGGAGAAAACCTGCCCCAGCGCCACTTTATCCACCACAAATCACACTTGACCAGACCCGGGATCGAACCCGGGCCGCCGCGGTGGGAAGCCAGCGACTAACCGCTTGAGCTATGGCGCGGCCTACTGCTGGTATTACTCAGTCAAATGAAACATTACCAAACCACTGTTTCCAACCCCCAAATCAGTAGATCTAAGGCGAAGGGTGGTACGAAATAATGAGAAACGCAGGGACAACACAAAATGTTAAACTTCTGGGCACAATCCATGTTCGTACGCACTACGACGCAATGGGATTCTCCACGGGTTCTGTTCATTACAAGGATATTTTGTTGGACACGGTTCAGTTTCTTGGTTACGTTGGGCGTATGGGTAGAAAGGATCCTAATCAACTGAGAACGTCAGCCGACAT